TGTTTCAGGTTCGCCCTGACACCCCTTCACATTGGCCGGCACCATAGACCTCGCAGAGCTTTGAGATCGAAGAGTGAAAACAAGAAATCGCAAGCTTTTGGTTTGCCTGGTGCGCAAGTGTTTTACACAATCAGCCAGTCAACGTTTCACATTTCGCGATCAGGAACATGCCGATCCCTGTGATTGTTGACACTTTTGAGACGCGAAGGCCAAACACGAGTCCAAAAGTGACGACAGTTCAGCGCTTCGCGAACAGGAACATGCCGCTCCCTGTGATTGTTGACACTTTGAGACGTTGACATTTTTGAGACGCGACGACCAAATCAAGTCCAAAAGTGACGACAGTTCTGCGTTCCGCGACCAGGAACATGCCGCTCCCTGTGATTGTTGACACTTTTGAGACGCGAAGACCAAGCGCGAGTCCAAAAGTGACGACAGTTCTGCGTTTCGCGACCAGGAACATGCCGATCCCTGTATTTGTTGACACGTTTGCAACGCAAAGTCCAAAAAAGTGACGACAGATCTTCGTTTCGCGACCATTTCGACTGCCAAGGACGCGCGACACGCGCGGACGCTTTGCGAACGCTTGCGGACGATTGCGATTACAAACGCAACGACTTTTGGTCATCTCCTGGACCCCTGGGACCCCAACCTTGCAACGGAAACATTTCTGCGGAACAGTCGGGAAAAAGACACCCTGCTGCCTACTTATCTGTACTCTTTGAGAGGTTTGGTACGCACGGGTTCAATTTTTACGTGGTAACGCAGCTCTCTCCAGGGGGAGGTTTTATCTTCGCAGAGGTACCCGCCTGAAGCATGGTTGAAACGGTTCGGTTCGGTTACGGTTTTTATTTGCCCGGTTCAGTTCTGACGGTTCGGTTTCAGGAAATAGCAGAGTCGGTTCGGTTCCCGGTTCAGGCGGTTCCATGGATGCATGGTTTCCAGCCCAGAATCCGAAAGCTCCGAACCTCAGAGAAGGCTCAGCCCTGAAAGGGTGCAGGAGGCTTTGGGCGTTGCTGGGAGGCCCTTGGGAGCCCCCCCGCAGCCATGGGCACTACCGGAAGGCTAACAGACATGTCTGTGGGCGCTGGAAGTGGAAGATTTTCGTGCGGTGGTCCAGACATGTCGAGCAACCGGCTTTTGAGGTTTGTTGGAGGGCCCTCCAGGAATCTCCTGGGACCAGTTTTCGGTGCTTCAAGTCTTTGAAGGCCCATAAACCGGAAGATTGGCAAGGCACCCCAACCACAAAGGCAACAGCCAAAACGGCATGGCCGGAAGGGTACCAGACATGTCTAGCAAACCCCTTGGGAGAAGTTTGCTGGAGGGCCCTGCTGGATTAAAGATCTTCCAGCGTGCTGGCGGCAATCTATCCAACCCCACGGCCACGAGGTTTGCTAGAGGGTCTGCTGGAATCCCTCCAGCCATGGGCTACCAAACTAGAATCTTCCGGTTTCTCCTGCTTCAAAGGCCTTGAATCCTTGAAGCCCCGAAGTTCTGTGCGGTGGCAGCAATCAGCCACTCGGCCACATCCAGCTTCCGTCCTTTCACGAGGTCACAACACCGAACCTTCTGCTATCAGGTTCTTCCAAGCTTGAAAAGCCCAACAGCATGTTGCGTAAAGGCAAATTAGCGCATCCAGAAGGGGCGAATACATTATCCGGATGGAGCCAATAAAGGTTTGGTACGGACAGATCGAGGGTTCAAGGGTGCAAATGGAGTGGAGGCCTCTGGCCTGGGAGCCCTTGCCAAGGCCTGGAAGCCTGGTCAGGGCCACCTCGCTGTCAAAGTTCTGAATCCGTAAAAAGGCGTCCGCGGGGTGGGAGGGAAAGAAGGGGGAGGCCGGGAGGGAGGGGTTCGCTGAAAGAATCCTGTGAAGGGGAGATGGGTACGAGATGGGGAAGAACACTGGGATGGAGGACAAGGGAGGGGGCAGCCGTTGGGGGGGGGGTGGGTTTGTAGGATAGGTAAGAGTCGGTAAGAGTGTGGGAAGAACACTGGGATGGAAGATACAGAAGTTGGGCTTCACTCTGCACTCGCCCCTTCAAGCTGGGGTCGGCGGATTCCCTTATCCTACATAATATGTTTCTTATTCCGACCCTACTGGCCACCAGTAGGAGAAGCGGTGCGATGTCGTTGTTCTATCATGAACCCTAAACCCCAAACCCCGAAAGCCCTAAGCCCCGCCGTAATCCTTAAACCTTAAACCCGAGGCTGGCGTCAGACGCAGCACTGCAGCGGTTCTGGCCCAAGGGGGCAGAATCGCCGGCGGCTCAGTAATCATTAGAGCCGTAATCTAAACTCACAGGGGGTTATATAGGGTTTAGTTTATAGGGTCTAAACTCCTTGAAGGGGGTGAAATAGAGGATTATTTCGAGGATTATGAGAAGGGTTACCAAGGGGGATGCTAGGAATGAAAATGGGAAACTAGGATTCTATAGGGCTTTTAGGGTTGGTAGTGTCCAGCTTAGACCCCAAAATACTAGAATCCTTATTATGGGGATCCCCGAAATGGTACCCCCCAGTTTTGGGAAACCCCCCTTTGGTGGCAGTATTTCTGCTGTTGTTGCTGCTCTTTATTGTTCTTTTTTGGCCGCGGCTGCTGCTGCTGCTGCTGCTGCTGCTGTTGCTGCTGTTGTTTTTGGTGGTGCTGGCGGGACTGGGGCTGGGGTGGAGGTAGCAGTGGTCAGCTCCCGCTGCTGCAGCTACTAGGGATAGCGGTGCCCCCGAAATGGATTTAAGATTTGATTCTATCAGGGTCCTTATGTAGCAGTGGACGATTTCTTCCTGCCGTAGACCTTAAGCCCTAAACCTTAAACCCTATGGACCCTAAACCTCTAACCCTCAACCCGAAACCACAGTAGGATCCTCTGAACACAGCCAGGCCCAAAGCGCTGTTCCTCGACTATGCAGTGGGCCCAAGCTGCTGTCCAGCTCTTTTAGGGTTTAGGGTTTAGGGGTTTAGGGTTTAGAGTTTAGGGTTTAGGGTTTAAGGGTTTAGGGGTTTTGGGGTTTTGGGGTTTAGGATTTAGGGTAGTCTAGGGCGTAGGGTTTCGGGGTCAAGGGCGAGGGATAAGGGTTTCGAGAGCGGGTGCTTCGGATTTTGGAAATGGGTCCAGGAATTTATGCTTCACTACATTTGAGCCGGGTGCTCATGATTGCTGGAGAGATTACAAGTACCGCCGTTATCACTGCCTCCAGCTTTAGCAGCTCAGAAAAATACAAATGAGAACTAGTGATTTGTTACAACCGCACTTTTAAAGGGACCTAATTATTGGGTACATGGACCCTTTGGCATCCCTAATCCAGAGTCTGCGAAGTTCCCAAATGGTACCTGAGGGGCCTGAGGCAGCGACCATTGGATTTTGCGGATTTTGTCGGTCCTAAACCCGAAGCCTAAGCCCTAAATCCTATGAAATTATGATCCCTTTTAGGGTTTAGGGTTTAGGCCTTGGACCCCAGACCAAGATTCAGGGCCCGGGACCTTCATGTCACTCCATGTGCTGGATGTCGTGCCCTTGGATTTGTGTAGCCGTCAGAGAACTAGTTGAGTGCTCCACTAAAATCTGATCAGATGCCCTCGTGGCACCCAAAAAGGTTGTTCAAGTTGTACAGGCCCCTACGCAAGAGGACCTGAAATGATCTGATTCGAGATCCCTAGAGGCTGTTTCTGGACTTTCTATTGTAGCAGAACTTTGGAAAGGCTCCGAAAAGGCATCCATGTCATAAGAGAACTAGTAGAACCTCAGAGAACCCCACCCCAATAGATTCCATCTAGATTCATCCAGACCCTAAGCACCCTCAACCCCTTAAACCCCTTAAACCCCCTAAACTCCTTAAACCCCCTAAACCCCTTAAACCCCTTAAACCCCTTAAACCCCTTAAACCCCCTAAACCCCTTAAACCCCCTAAACCCCTTAAACCCCTTAAATGAACCTCCAAGACGGGATCTGCGCAGGGTCTGTGCTGAGGATGGAACGCTGCGGGAGTTTGAAAGCAGCCCTGAGCTTGCAGCAGCTGTCTCAACCTATACTGCCTTAGGGTTAATGGTTTAGGGCTTAGGGTTTGGGGTTTAGGCTTAAGGGGTTTAGGGCTTAGGCTTAAGGGGTTTAGGGCTTAAGGGGAATGGAAAAGAAAATGGAAACTGCTGCATACTGCTTAAGGTTCAAGGCTTAGGGGCTAATACGCCAAGAATGGGGGATCACATGGAAAATCCCTAAACCCTAAACCGGGCTCATCACATCGATGTAGGGTTCGAGAAGGGTAGGGTTGACGGTTTGGAGTTCTGAGCTTTGGGTGTCAGATTCAATGTTGATCTTGAGAAAACATATTGCAGATTGAAACCCTAGGACAACTAAAGGTTCATGTACTTCTCAAGTATGGGTTTAGCGTTTAGGGTTTCGGGTTTAGGCCCAGGGCGTAGGTGTAGGGCCGAAAGCAGGTCTCGCGTCATGCTCACCGGTGCCATTTTGACGTGTTGAGCAAGGTTTGCATACATATCGGGCGAGTCTCACGATATTTGTGCGAAGCACGCCTGGTAGTTCATAGGAGGACCCCAATATAGACCCCCAAATACTATAGTCCTGATGATGGGGCCCCCCAAGAAGGTACCCTAGCTTTGGGTGTCGTTTGCCGACAAGGTCGCAGAAAGACGCAGCTTGGGATGGCTTTGTGTGCCCATTACGCAGGGGAAATTTGACTTGGTTTGTTCGATTTAAATGTAGGGATTAGAATGGATATTCCCACAATCAAGGAGAACCAAATGGAAAAGGAAGCGGAAAATGAAATGGAAACTGGCGTTATGTGTTTTTTCGACTTCATGTGATGTGCTAAGCATCCCAAGCAGGCACCAAGCGAGATTGATGCTTCAGCAAGTGAGCGTGTCAAGCCTTGCAACTATGTTGCACTAGGGGACGACGAGAGCCCGTATGCTGATTATGCGATTAGCGCGAGTTACGTTTCAGATGTTTGAATGGCTTAGCATCCTGGATTCTTGACTTGAGGTTCCAACAGAGGAAGTGATGCGCCTAGTACAGGCGCGCTGCGGAGTCATGCCTCGCTGGAGTAGTTAGATGGTCAGCAACAATGTCGGGGTCAGATGCGGCAATTTGAGACCTAGGGGCTCAAGCCTGAAATTGTGTTTCAATCAGTTCTTCATCCAGGAATTTATTCTCGGGTCTCTGTGGCTGCTTGCAGGGTTTCATTTCGAGTATGATGTCGGCTCAGGTGGAAAGTTGAAGCCAAGAAGTCTTATGTCAGTAGATGATCGATTTGAGGGTTAGGTCAACAGGATTTTACTTCCGTGCGCTGAGCAGCTCCCACTGTGATAGTGGACAGCTTCGACGACAAAGACATCCAAGCCTAAGTCTCCCGCTGTGATAGTGGGAGGCGAAGGTTTTGACAACAAAGACGACAAAGTCTGAGCCTCCCAGTGTGATAGCAGGAGGCGAGGGCTGGCGACGACGACGCCTGAAGGAGCGTTCCAAACTTTGTGTTGGCCTTTCGAGCCATAGTCTAAACTCCTTAAAGGGTTCTTTTGTCGGGGATTATGATAGGGGGTATTACGGGGGATACTAGGAGCTTGGACTAGGACTCCTGAGGATAGGTTTGCGGTTTAGGCTCGAAGGATTTTATTGCACCCCTCCGGTCTACGTCAAAGCCCCATGGAAAATCAAAATCGGTGATTTCTGAGGCCTTAAAGCCTTGGTACATATTTTCGAATGCCCCTCGTCCAGATAAAAATCTTAGGATAAGCTCCCATGTATGCACTGTTTATCCCGTACGGTTGAAACAACAAAAGCTTGTATGGCCTGATGTACGTAAGTTCTAAGAACGATTGTAGTAGGGAATTTTTCGTCATGCAGGATTTTGTAGTTTCCATTTGCTTTTCCATTATCCAACAGTCGAAGTCGCCCAGAATGGCCGTGGTCCTTCAACTGGGGAAGGCGAACCACACATGCGACGACCCATCACGCGAGCAAAATAGTAGTTTCCATTTTCTTTTCCATTATTCCCTATATAATGACCACAATATATACCCTATAATGCCTATATAACCCCTATATGACCCCTATAATCCCTGTAGTTTCCATTTTCTTTTCAATTACCCCAATGCTACCCCAATGTTACACAATATTATCCCAACATTGCCCCCATTATTACAGAGACATGTCAGCTGCAAGGAACACCTGCAAGCAGGACTTCTTGTTATAGAGATGTGCCCCGTGACATTCTGTGGTCAGGTGATGACAAAACAAATGCGTCCCCCTTTCCCCCTGGGTGACGTGTCAGAACCAAAGCCACTCCAGAATGTTCTTATCAGGAGTGCGCGCATTGGACCCTTCGTCTTCAACTTTGCACGCGATGTTGGCAACAGTTTTTGTTAGTTGTCTCAAGAACGCAACTCCTGCACAGTATCTGTTTGCTCCGGCATGTGCGCTCACCCAACACGCTTCAGTCCAGCATGCATCGCGAGCCAAGACATGACGGAGCTAAGCATCATCTTGTGCGACCGCCTTCGCTCAATTCGCAAAGCCTCTTCCGACATGAGCATGCCAACAAACACCCATCCTCTAGGGGTTGTATAGGGGCTATAAACCCCCAAAACTGGAGAATCAAAGGAGAATAGAATGGAAATTGAAATGGAAACTGTGGGTAAGTAGGATAGTAGTAATATAGAGGTCATGTTCTTCTATGTACCCATGTCACACATGCTGCAAACCCAACAGCTGCAACAGGAAAGCATGATTGTCACACAACAGCTGGTACAAATAGCGGTTTCCAAGTAGTTCTCTTCAGTGCCGGTAAGTAATCCCATATTCCTCTCAAGCCTCACAATCTCTAATCCCGGTATTTGCTTCAACTTCCATAGTCTTGTGTTTTGGCTTCTGCATCAACCAGTCCAAACCGCAAAGCCAACATAACATGGTAGTGAAAGTGAAGCCTAAGGCCTCAACACTACACGCTATGCCCGCATAAGCCCTGGGCGCTATGACAGTGCTAACCTCTTTTACTCTTGATGTAAGGTACAGCCTTGACTAACTCTACAGACCTGACAGGATCTAGAGTACAGTCCTTAAGTAAGAGGTGCAAAACCCCTAACCCTCAACCCTAAGCCCTAAAACCCTAAACCCTAAATCTTAACCCTAAAGCCCTAAACCCTAAGCCCTATACCCCTAAGCCCTAAACTATAAAACCCTAAAACCCTTAACCTGAAACCCTAACCCCTAAAACCCTAAACCCCTAAAACCCTAAACCCCTGAAACCCTAAACCTTGGAAGGCACTGGATAGTCGGCCAGATTTCAGGCCTGCCGAGATCACCTTGAAGAATTTAGGGTTCAGGATTTTTGGGGGGTTAAGGATTTAGGGTTAAAGCGGGTTAGGATTGAGGGTTTGAGGGTTTGAAGGTTCAGGATTTGTGAGAGTTAAGGGTTTAGGGTTTAGGGGGGTAGATTTTAGGGTTTAGAGTTTTAGGGGTGTCGGCTTCTAGGTTTAGGATGTCAGGGTGTAGCCTCCTGATAGCGGGTTGCAGAGTAAAGTTTAAGGTCTAGTCTGGACGTGAGGCATTGAGGCACTTAGGGGTTGGGAGTTTGGGTGTATGACTTTTGGTTCAGTGGCGGGTGCATGTGGCGTTTCCGGGGTTCTTTTGGAGTTCATTCTACTACGGTGTCGTCGTCTGTGAGCAGGGTTCCCGGAGACATGCTGGCCAGTGCAAATGCAGATGTTTGTTCTGTGCCCACAGGCCCCACATCATAAGCGGGCGCGGCTCGCAGTTTCTGGAAGCTCATTTCGGAAGCCAGGGGCTCAACGTCTCAAGGTGAGCTTCAGCCTAAAGGGCTAGAGACCACTATAGTAGTTTCCATTGTCTTTTCCATTATGCCTAACAAGCACCTATATCGTATAGTAGTTTCCATTGTCTTGTTCATTATGCCTAAATACCCCCAATATAGTATAGCAGTTTCCAATGTCTTTTTCACTATGCTTAAATAACCCCAAATATAGTATAGTAGTTTCCACTATCTTTTTCATTATGCGTAAATAAGTCCAAGATAGCATAGTAGTTTCCATTGTTTTCTTCATCATGCCTAAATAGCCCCGGCATACTGCAGTAGTGTCCGTTGTCTTTTTTCCATTATCCCGAAATGACCTCAATATGCTGCAGTGACGGCAGTGTTGTTGAAATGCTGCACCACCAGGCCCTGAAAGTTTGGCATTACAGTAGTTTGCGGATGTACATGACGCAGGACTTTCTCCATAAACTGCAGGGGTTAGTCCGAAGTCTAATGCTGTAGATTGGGCGGTTATGCAGGTACGTCAACAAGTACAAGATCTAAAAGGTACAGGTTGCCGTACGGTGGTAGCTCAGGTTGGACTCACGTATGTCTCTATATGCCCCCAACACCTACAACATCCCTCAGCCGGTTTAGACTCCCTCGCCTCGCCTCAGCAGGAATAACAGTAGTGGCGGTGGCGTGGTTAGCAACAGTGAAGCCAGTGCTTGTTTGAGGATCGTGCAAGAAGTAAGGCTTCTCATGTGACCCCCAGACTCGATCGCCTTGTTTGGCAACTCCAGGGATTGCATGGAAACATATGTTATACAGGGATATGGGGGACTTGAACTAATTCAAGTACAACCAAATTTAACCTCTGCCATGTACTAGGAACCTGTACAGTCCCGTAGAACTTGAACTTAGTCCCTTAGCAGCGCAGTGTCTCCAGCGCTGTGTTGACCACGCTTGCGCTGAATCCTCGACTTGGAAGTAGGGTGTCAACAGAAAGTGCTCTTACAGGAATGCTCAAACATGCGGCGTCTGGAGCAACTGTACTTGACCACGGTACGTTTGGGGGTCAAGAATCGCCTTGATGTGTGTACATATATACATCTATGCAGTTATATGCGTTTTACAAGACACGTTGGATAAGGCCTCCCCTATTGCAAGAATACTTCAACGATCCTTGCAACGTCTGCCAGGCTTGAGGAATTTTACCCTGATTGCCGAGCATGGATACCACATCTCACCACCGATGGCAGGCTGGTTGGGAATCTGCTTTGTGACCGTTTAGTCATGCCACTTTATGGCCATAGAGCGTACTAGCTATCGACCCTTTGTAGCGGTTATTTGCAGTGTGCCGGCTCATAACTTGCCACTGGGTAGGAATCACTTGCCTAATACCACCCCTTGGCCCCCACCCGCATAACACATATGGCCAATGCAGTACAATTGCCATAGTAATCATGGGGTGAAATCGTCCATGACGGGCTGGCAGGGTTTTATGACTAGGGAGACGTGATTACTCTACTGACGCCCCCGAGATGGCGAGTGCCGGAAGTGGGAACTTCGAGAGCATTTTGGTGGCGTCCGGGACTCGGGGATTAAGTTTTACGTAGGGTTGTTAGGGTTCAGTGGTTTTAGGGCGTGTGCCCTGCCCCAGGTGTCCCCTGCCTTCTGTGCTTTGCCTCTCCGCAAGACAATGGAAACTACTGTAGTACACTGGGGTTTATATAGGGATACTGGACAAGGCAATGGAAACTACTATAGTATTTTGGAATGCCTCTGTGCATTCACCTTGCCTGCTCCTTTGCGCTCTGCGGTCCTTCCTCTTCCACTCTTCCTCCTGCCCATCGCACCCCTTTGCCTGTTTGGCCCTCACTCCTTGACTCCTGCCCTGCACCCGAAGACCTTCCACCCACACTATAGTATATTGAGGTTATGTAGGGATAAAGAAAAAGACCATGGAAACTACTATAGTACATTGGGGATATATAGGTGTAATACGATTCCCTTCTACCCCTGCACTCTCTCCTCATCCTTCCTGCCCGTGCTGCGCTCTCACCATGCCACCTTGCTCCTTCTGACGCCTCAAGGCAGAACTAATTCATCTGTGGCTCTCTTTGTAGCAGTGCTTGGTTTGGTCAGGAAAGCCAGAGCATGGCCAGTGTAGAACATATGCGGTGATCACTCCAGGAGTTCACTAGAACATCGTGTCTTTAGCCTGCAGGGCAAAATTGACCCGGATGCGGCATTATGAGAATCACGCAATCTATACAGCGCTCCAATTATGACTAAGGACCAACTTCTGCAGTCATTATTGCCCACACCCTGAAAAACCTTGCCCTCATTAAAATATGCCCGCTTGTGCAGGGGTGTTGGATGTACCATAGTCATAACATCGGCAAGTACCTTTGTAAACCCCTGTCTAAACCCATGTCCGTGTGATTTTCCATGTTCTTTTGGATATGATTCTCCATTAGATATCCCCAGATCCCAAACCCTCTACTTACCATAAATTATCCCTACATCCCAAGCCCTCTATACCCCTACATATCACTTCTTTATGCTCCTACGTTACCTCTGAGGACGCAAACCACTTCACTGAGCACAAAAACTGGAAAGCAACGCTGCGCCCAAGCCTGAGCTTGCTACTATAATACTCGAAATAGGGAAACTACCATATAACCCCATTATAGTAGTTTCCATTTTCTTTTCCATTATCCCTATAATATGAACCCAATATACTATAGGAGTTTCCATTTTCTTTTCCATTACCCCTATATAACCCCAATATACTATAGTAGTTTCCATTTTCTTTTCCATTATCCCTATATGAACCCAATAACATATGCCCTGAGCTTGCTTCTTGTAGCCCTCAGGAGCTTGGATCCCTTGTGTTTTATTAGGGTTTCGGGTTTAGGGGTTTAGGGGTTTAGGGTTTAGGGGTTTTGGGTTTTGGGTTTAGGGTTTAGGGGTTTAGGGGTTAGGGGTTTAGGGCTTGGGGGCAGTTAAACAAGTAAACCAAAACCCTATACTGCCCTATATCCAAAACCCTAAACCCTATCAGTTATCCTACTGTCCACCCCTTTCATTTGGGGCCTCCAACATTGGCCAGCCGGTTCCTGCCCAAGGCGCCCCCACATCCCTGCACCGATTTCTGCCGCTTCTCTCTGAAATCTCTACAACCATTGCTTGGGTTTTGTTAATATTGGGGTTATATAGGGGCTGTATAGGGTAATATTGGAGTTTTGGGATAATGGAAAATCAAATGGAAACTACTATAATGCCCCGAATTCGGAGGATGGAACATGACATGGAAACTATAGCGGTTATGGGGGTTATATAGGGATTATAGAAAAACTTTGAAAATAGTACTGCCTTTGAGGCTGCTTCAACCTTGATGCAAGCCCTCGCAGACCACCCTCGGATCGGCTCCAACAGTAATTCAAACAAACATTGCAAAAACATCTTGCGTTGTCCGATCGACCACGCAAAGCCATCATAACATGAGCGTGAACAACAAGAAGCCCTCTGAACTAAAGCCCTCATTAAAACCCCGGACACCTTGCAAACATCATTAAACCCGCAAAGTCATCAAACATTCAGGCTCGATGGCAGGTTTACGCAAGTTGTCCTGGCCAAGCAGCGAAACAGCTGTGATGCTGGCCCCCTTGGCCAGCATCATCAGCAGCGCTGCGGGTCCGTTTCTCCATTTTTGGTCCCCCCTGCGCACCTGGGTCTCTCGTTGATTCTCGTTGAATCTGAGCTTTGCTCAACTCGAGCCTAAGACAGCCTCGGGGCTAGCTTTCAAAACAGCCCTTGCTGATTTTTTGTGGGGGTCCTGCGAAACCCCACACTACGTGAAAAGTGCGTCCGTAACGTCTGTGAGTCGTCTGTGGAAGCTTGCGGAGCGTGTGTTATTTTCAGCCGAGGGGACGTTGGAGAAATGGAGGTTCGATGATGCTGGGAGGGGAGGGGGGTCAGCGGCAGTGGAGGCAGGCCCATAAGCTTGCAGCCTAGTGTGCTAACGACGGCGTGGCCGGATTTCATGGTTAATGATTAGCGCCAGTGCCGCTTCCAGGAGGAGTGCAGATGCCCACGCGTCCGTGCTAGGGTTCAGGACACAAGCAACTGTGTTGTGCGGAGCAGCTTCGGAAAAGGGGAAGTTGTTTGTAGGCTTTAGGCAGTCGGGCTTGCTCAGCCTGCGCAAGACTGCCACGGGAAAGCAACATTCATGTCGACTGCTAGTGCACAATTACTTTGCATGGTATACTGTGGCAAAGTGGGTGGGGGCTTTTGTTTCAAGTTGCTCTGAATTAACGGGCCAATGAAAGGCGTCGAGATCCTTGTGTCCGCGTCCTTCGTGCCTGGAATGCAGCATTGCCTTCTAGGGTAGCAAAGTAATTCCCAGGCCCCTTCCTTGTACCTTTGAATAGGGGCGGTATATGGTCCCTAAGGGTGGGTATTCAGGGTATATAGAGGGCAGATGGAGGGTCTATAGGTCTACGTCTTTCTGTTCCGCAACTACTTCCCCACTGACGCACCAACTCCGAAACGATGGCAGTGACCGTGTTGGGCATTCCTTCCTTCGAAAAAAATCAGACCAACAACATGAGATGTCAACTTTAAGTTTTGAGGTATCAGGCTCGGGAGGGTCTGAGGTTTGATAGTTTCAAATATTAGCGCATGCTAGTCGCAAGAGGCGTAGTCATCATCTCCGCCATCACTGATTATGCATGACTCTGAAACCACGAACCCCCAAGATGTTGAAGAAAGACCACAGCCAAACTTCGAACAGTCTACAACCAAATCCCCACAACCATAACAACTGAAAGCATCGAGCCCTGAAATTACCTAAAGTCCCTCACAGCCATAGCTAACTAGTGTTTTTAATCAGTCATGTTTTGTGGCATTGCCGCCTTCTAGTATTAGGATCAGCACAGATCGCGCTGATTTTGCGCCGCCAGCATCAAGATTTGTTTGACATCCAAGAATGTCTGAGAAGCAGCTGTGACTCTTCAGGACTGCTTTTGGAAAGCGAATTGTGGCAAGGACACTTTGGAACTTCAACCGGCTTCCCCGAATGTATATTATACATATATATATATATATGCTGGGTTTTTTACTTTTTTTGCCAGATGTGGTGGTACATTAGCCTTTTCAAAACACCTTGCCGCAACATCGCCCTTGGCGTGAACAAGCAGCACCACAGCCTCATCATCACAAGTCACCATCGTCATGATGTACCAATACTGCTGCTTGGGTTGAAAGTGGTCAAAAGGGCAGCATAATTTGCCAGTGTTGTGTAGCTATGCCTTCTCAGGATGCGTTCCAATGCTCTTTCTGAACCACCTGTGCCATGGATTTCCTGCCGCACAAGAGGAACAGTCAGCAGGAGGACCTTGGAAAGGAGCTTGGAAAAAGTCAAAGCGCACCAGAGTTTTGTCTACGTCCTGTTTCGTCCCACGACGGCCGATGGGTGCTAAGCTGCTAATTCTCTCGCAGAGGCAGCCATGCTGCGGATGCAGCAGCGAGGCATCCCACAATTTCTGATGGACTTCCAATTCTCTAGCAGAAGCAAATGTGCTGTAAATGTGCATGCCACGCAGCACGAACAAGTTTGTAACAATACCTTGTAAAAACTCAAACTGTAGTAGCGTTTCGTCAGTCTGTCGCCCGCGATTTTTCACGATTTCTGATTCGGCCAGCTCTCATGCAGAAACAGCGTTGCTATGAATGTTCCTGGCACGCAAGGCGAGCAGGTCAGTAGCAGGACGGTTGAAAGAGACAAAACGCAGAAGTTTTCGTAGCTATGTCGTCCCGCGATTGCTGATGGCTGCGAGTTCTCTTGCAGAAGCAGCCGCGCCATGGATGGCCCTTCTGCGCAACGATTCAGTACTGCTTCATAGCTACGCATACCAGGATTTCTGACGGATTTCCAACTCTGGCATAGACAGCTGTGCAGTGGATGTCCCTGCCACGCAAGAAGCTTAAGTCTGTGATACGGCCTTGGACAAAATCCAAGACGCCGATTTTTTCGCGGAGTCAAAGAGTTGCAGGAACAGACCATGATCTGTGGAATGACGATGCAAGCCGATGTGAGGCCTCTATATCACCCATGAGCTCTTGTAATACTCTGCTCTGAGATTGAATCCAAGACGCCTCTTTCTATTGCACTCCACCCCCCCCCTTTCTATAGGTCTTTGGGGGGGGGCGTGGGTTACCTTGGTTCCCACCTAAAAAACAGGTCCCGGTGCCTATTTCGGGAGGGTGAGTTCATTCTCGAATAACAGGTCCCGCGCTACATGTATAATAGGTCCCACAACATCGGGGTCGGATAGGGTAAAATGAGATCTACGGCCTTGCGCCTGAAATTTGGTTTCATCAGTTCCTCCGCAAAGATTTTGTAGGGGTTGCGCCCTAGTGGTTACAGGCGCTAGGCTACGTGATATGGGTTGTGCCCTAGTGGTTACAGGCGCTAGGCTACGTGATAGCGTGCCCTAGCGGTTACAGGCGCTTAGGCTGGGTGACAGGGGTTGCGCCCTAGTGCTTACAGGCGCTAGGCTACGTGATATGGGTTGTGCCCTAGCGGTTACAGGCGCTAGGCTACGTGATAGCGCGCCCTAGCGGCTACAGGCGCTTAGGCTGGGTGATAGGGGTTGCGCCCTAGTGCTTACAAGCGCTCAGGCGCTTAGGCTGGGTGATAGGGGTTGCGCCCTAGTGGTTGCAGGCGCTCAGGCTAGGTGAAATGGGTCGCGGCCTATTTGATACAGGCGCTAGGCTGGCCCATGAGCATAATCTCCCGAACAATAGGCCCACAGACCTATTTCTGACCCCACCCGTGCTGGAGAGACTGGACTACCCCACCTTGAAAAAGATGGTGAATTCTATTGCTGAAGAGGGAAGCCCTGTAATCCTGATACATGCCAAGGAACCCCCCAAAGCTCCAGCACAACAACCGGTGTCAAGGTGAAGCTATGTCTCGCTTGGCAGAGCAGAACGCCGGTAGCCATGTTGAGGCACCTTTGCTGCGCAGGGTTTAGGGTTTACATTTGGACCCAAAGGAACACATAAATGAACATGCGAACCCTCCCAACGCTGATTTTGAGATTCTCTGACAAAGGGGAGGCAAACACCGCCAACACAGGATCGTCATGTTCATGTTTTCTTGGGTACCTCTTGCTACTTGCGTTCAATGGTGGTGGCTGAAGATTCGTTTAGGCTTTGTTTTTTTTGTGGTTTAGGGTTTATGGTTTCGACTTTCGTGGTACAGGGCTTGGGGTTGCAGTTTGGGGCTAATGGCTGATACTATTGACAGCAGTTACAAAAAGAGCAGTATCCACAACAGTACTGATGGTACCGGCACCGACGATCGTCGGTGTTGTCTGTTGGCGGCAGTGGTAGCCGTCGAAGCCATCGCCGTACGTGGTATTGTCAATTGCTGCGGTCCTTGTGGCTGTCATTGCTGTCGAGGGTGTCATCGTCACCCATGGTAATTGTGGCTGCCGCCCTTCTTCATGCAGCAGGTACATGTTATGAAAAGCCCATCATGTCGTTCAGCGCGTCTGCCAGGAGAAGCAGACTTCTCTGGTGTGGCATTACCGACAGCTGGCAGATGAGGCTGGTCTCCCAGAACAAGGATTTTGAGGTTTCTCGAAGTGATTTACTCCCTAATGCAGCAGAAGTTACAGAGGTTGCAGTGGTTTGCCATTATATTATCCTTGCCTGTGCTCAGAGCGGTATTGTGAGTGGGTTTCCGGGAGGGTTCTGAACATTGGGGGTTCCCAGAAGAGTTCATTGCTTCGAGGATATGTAAGGAAGCCATGGCTTCAAGAAATGTCCTCCGTATTGAAGCTTCCGGCAATGGTACACTTCCACGTCGATTGCCCTGAATCATGCAAACACTTTGCAGCTCAATGTTAGCTTTCTTTTGTCTGGCCAAGGGAACAGCCATGTGTTTGACTTTTTGCGCGGCCCTATCTGCATCTGAGTCGAACGGTCAGCCTGTACGACGGCTGCCCTCAATGCCTATGGAGTATACATCATGCTAACTACTTGGGTGCGGGCGCATAGGTCGCCCTGTTGCTTTCTACAGGTAAAAGTGGCACGAAGCCTGGGTTTTAGCACGATTTTGAGAAAAAACAAGGTTGTTGGATGTTTAGGAAACTATGGCAGTCAGGACAAAATTTCACTATGTCTTGGCCTCGCGTATCCGTGAGCAGGGACCTAGCAGCTAATTGTTGTTCCTCTGGAACACGTCAGACAAGCTGCGCAGGAAGCGACCAGGCGAATGCAAGTAAGGTTTGGTCATAGATGCTCTGGTGACCGTATGCTCTTGGAAACCGAAAGCAAGTAAGGTTTGGTCATAGATGCTCTGGTGACCGTATGCTCTTGGACCCGAACGCAAGTAAGGTTTGGTCATGGAGGCTCTGGTGACCGTATGCTCTTGGGACCCGAACGCAATTAAGGTTTGGTCATGGAATGTCATGGAGGCTCTGGTGACCGTATGCTTTTCGAACCCGAACGCAAGGTTTGGTCATGGAGGCTCTGGTGACAGTATGCTCTTGGAACCCGAACGCAAGCAAGGGTTAGTCATGGAGGCTCTGCTAACCGTGTGCTCTTGGAACCGGAGCGCAATTATGGTTTGATCATGGATGCTCTGGTGCGCATATGCTCTTGGAACACAAACGGAATTCGATGGCCAAGCTAAACTTCAAGACCCTGGACTCTAACCCGGAAAGCTGGACAACAGCAAAATACAGAGAAGGATCTGACCAAGGCACGACAAAGAAGGATTCCAACTCCTCAAGAGGGAATGTGGAAAGGCCCTGCAGTTCAGCTGGGCAGCAACATGCCCCACAGCCGCAGGATGATTACTGCCGAACGTGTCAAAACGAGCCATGGCAGCGTCATGCTGTGCTGAAGCTGTGCTAGATTAAGGCGGACTCTGGAGGCGGCGTGAGAAAAGGATGAAACTATCCCTCCCCCCCTTCCCCCTCCCGCCCTCCCCGCAGCAGCAGTACCGTGAATATGCATGCGAAGCCCGCGGAAAAACCCTGAAGAGGCTCAAAACCCTGCAAAAACTGTGTGACGAGGCTCAAAAACCTGCACAACCACAGGGCGACTGTCGCGCCCGCCACCAACTACTTACAAAGAGTAGGACCCTAACAACGCAGAATCACATGGACAAGAGGATGGTAAATGAAATGGAAGGTGGGGTTATAAACTGATGCACAAGCGCGAAGGATGCTCGGTTGCTGTCTTCGCACAACTATCTGAACCTTAAACCCTAAATAGTAGAGGATACCTCAAGATCTTGAGGTCCCCCTCTATGCCACCCAAAAATCTGAAATCCTCATTGTGACCACAAAAGGGACTCAGAATTTTGAAGGACCCCCTTCTAAATGCCAAGGCTTAACAGTACCATTCGGCAAGTTCTCCCTCTGGCCGTGACGTCTACACTCTAATCCTGGACCCTACTCCCTGACCAGAAATTCCTAGCCTCGAAGAATTGAGGCCACGGCAGACATTGCTGTGGCGAAGGCGGTGTTTGGGCTTCAGGGTGTCGGGTTTGGGTTCTAAGGCTTCTAAGGTTTGGGTTGCGGGGTCGAGAAAGTTACAGGTTTAGTGATTCGAGGATTGTGGGTTCAACGGTGTAGGGTTCAGGGTCTGGACTTGGTGGACATCCATGACCCTACATCTACATCCCTAGGATTGAAGTTGACATTTTCCAGACTATGTGCCCCTTCTCCGGTTCCTGTACGATAAGGCAGCCATATCTGGAGACGTCCGCAAGCTGGGTTATGTAGGGGTTATATAGGGGATATATTGGGATAATGGCAAAGAAAATGGAAACTACTATAGTATATTGGGGTTTGCACATTCGCTGGCTCCCTGAATCTGCACAGTTTCAGGCTTACGAGGGCCTGCAGCAGCTGTGCAAGCGTGAGCGATTGCAGGACATCGGGGCAATAAGTGTTGTTGGGAGGTTGTAAAATCATAGGTGGCTTCGTGTTTAGAGCTTGCCTTAGCAGGGGAAGTATACAGCGAGTAGAGACATGCGTATGTGTGTATGTGTGTGTATGTGTGTGTATGTATGTATGTATGTATGTATGTATGTATGTAGGTATGTATGTATGTATTTATGTATGTATGTATGTCTACGTATACAATGTATACAATACATATATATATATGTATATATATATATGGGCTTCGCTGCTAACACTGCAAGAGACCGTAAGGAGGTTGCTTCAAGCAAGAAGGTTTCTTCAAGGTATGCTGGGAGACACCAGCCTTGAGGCAGACGAATTTTAACAGCTCCAGCTGTCAACTGTACCTTCTGGCTTGCTGGCAAGGAACTTAAGTTAAGTTAGTATATTATCCCCCACAATGGAGAATTAAATGAAGAAGAACGTGGAAAATGACATGGAAACTGCGGGAACATAGGGATTTGAGGAACTTAGTTTAAGTCACTATATTGAGGACACCATGTTAATTACTATATATACCCATTATGAGCTCCCGCTGTCAATTGTCTTTTGACAGCGAAGGGCGCTTGCGAAGTACTTTCGGAGTAGCTGGACCCCCCCCCCAAACACTGCAGAATAACAGCTTTTTGGACCCTTCTAAACGGTTTTTGGACCATTATTCTACTTACTTTTTTTGCGGTGTAGGTAATAGCGAAATATGAGGTGAGCCGGTCTCACCATCGCGACTTTGCACAGCACCTTTTTTGGAGCGTCCTCCTGAATCCCTTCGCACCTAAAACCTGAAACTTTAGGACATCAACCTCTCGAAGGGCCACAAGGTCTTGGAGGCGCCGATGTCTGCTGATCCCTCGTTCGGCAAGAATCGAAACCCCAACCTGAAGTCCGTGGTGGCTTCGTAGGGTTTGTGTGGGGTTAAGGGTTTTTGGACAGGTCCTGCATAACCATGGGAACCGTAGAGTGCCAGAATTCCGAGGGTCTAGGTAAATAGATTCGCTCGACTCATCTTTGTCCATCAACCGAGGGGATACAGAGTTCCAACAAGGTGTTATATCAGAGAAAGATATCTACTCACGGTTGCATTGTGCTGCTGCCGCGGGTGTCTTACAACATGCTCTGTGCATTCTAGGCGGTACGGTTGTAATCTATCACGATGCCCGTAGATCCTTGCAAGCAGGGCCCGAAGCATCCCGATTCTGGACGACTCCCAATCACTCAGCCAGGCATCCTACCGCAACGTCCGGAAAGGCGACAGACATGGCTTTGTTGTTGATGCCTGCATCTTCGCACTTCCAGCAGTATATTCTGATTCTGACAAATACGCATAATTGCTTAGGTATGTTTCTGACCCTGGAAAACGCAGGAACTCTATACAAAAAGCCTGCAGAGCTTGTCACCGTCGACAGGTCTTGTAATGAGACGATTGTGCGAGGAGAAGGCTTTGTTTGGTGAGCTCGGGCGTCAGCTCATACACTTGACTAGCCTCTTGCACTAGCTTGCCGGCTGTTAGTAGGGAATGAAGGCATGGCAAAAAATCGATCTGTTTTCTTATTGGGGAGTATTTCATGGCTGCCATACGGACCTCTTCCTCCATTCTCTATTGGGGAGTATTTCATGGCTGCCATACGGACCTATTCCTCCATTCTCTATTTACAACCTAACACACCCTCAGTCGGTGTTCTGTGATAGGGGAGGGGATTATCGTGAGCTGGGGCGTCTCGAAGTTCGGATCATGCTTATGCACGCAATAGAACAAAGTGTTGTAATTACATAGGAACCCCGATGGGACCACGCACACTTGTCCCCTGAAGACGCTTATCACTGAGGCCGTATTCCGCCGTTCTGGCTGCAGGTGATGATGTCTCAGACGAGACAATGCCACCTCCTTAGTGACTATTGTCTTGGGTAGTTTGCAAGAGCTGGGTTGCAGCTATATATGCGGGTAAGAATCGAATTCGTAGCACACAAGACTCCAGAAAGGACCACGAAATTGTTACAGACTCTCTCATGATCATATTTGGGTGAGTTGTGGTGGCAAGTCCAGAGCAAGCCAAGGTTCGAGGCTGCACCGCGTGACTTCCTGACCATCAAGGTTAGGTGAGTATGTGTGAGTGTGTATCAGAAGGAGAATGGCCTGGAATTTCATCGAAACGAAAGGGATCCCTTATGATCCATATCATGGTCTTCAACTGAGCTCCATGTAAGGGACCTCCGAACAGAACTGCCTGTTGCATCCTGTGTCGCCAGCTTGAGAGTCGAGGGTGATGTAAAGCTATGTTTTGCTGATTGATCTGTGATAGCACTGCAGTTCGTAGCAACGTCTCTGAAGCAGAGAAAACTTACTGGGGTTTAGTGGGGAATAAGGGAACACAATCCCCATCTAAACCCTAGGTCCCTATTCCAGTAAGAAAAGCGGTTGCGGTTGTCCATTCTGCAGGTGGGTGCAGGCAGCACAAGTGCAAGCTTTCGTCGGGCACTAAACGTGGGGATTTCTGCAAGTGAGCTGTTGCGGGGCCTCCATACGAGGAGTCGCATAAGCAGGATTGGTACCAAAAGATCAAGGCAGCATGTGCCCACTGGACTTGTAGAATTCTAAATACAGAAGCTCCCCCAAACAGGCCAATGACTTTCGCACATACTCTCATGATCCCCATACTGGCTCACTTATATATTTGCTAGAGTGAAAAGTCCTTAAAGGGGGGTTTACACAGGCGATTACAGGGGAGCAGTATAGGGGTTGTTAAGGGGGATGCTAGGAGTTTAGACTATAGACTAAAGCTAACATGATCCCTCTGGCATGATATAGCCACATACTAAGCATGGTATAAATTCATATTTTAGGAGGACCCCCCACCCTGTAATAGTGCTAGGCTAGGAATATACTAGAAGCCTAATATAACCCCTATTATCCCTTATAGTTACTATTACTGGGTGGGGGGTTCACCTAATTCATATTAGGTAGCAGTTCGGAACGGCTCTGTCTGTCCAGGTGCTGAAGTGCCGCAGGAGCTGAGGAATTTTCTGTGGCGCCTCGTGCCTGCGCCTTTGAAGGGTCAACTGTTTTTCACTTTAGGTTTAGGGTTTACGGTTTAGGGTTTAGGGTTGGGGGTTCAGGGTTTAGGGTTGGAGACACCTGAACACGTGGGAGTACTTCTTATCCACTTGTCAAGTATTCGGCACCGTCTCATCAGAATGATTGCCATCATCGTTTTTCTACTTACCGTTCTAATCTGGTCCCAACGTGTCTCCCGCAAAAATCTCTCATAGCTTTTGCATGCTTCCCCCAGTAATATCCAGGTGTAGTCCCTACACAGCGCCATCGGGCTGAGGGGCAAAAGTCATGAACTGGCAGCAAGCAGAGGCCCTAAACCCTAAACCCCATCTTGAGCCTCGTTCTAGCCTTGTCCGGTGCAAATGGGTGTTTATGTACGTAGGGTTTCCAAGACGGATTAGAAGTGCATCTTTGGGTTGTGTGTGGGGTGTTTTGAGAAAACCTCCATATGCTTGAGATATCCTTGAGACCCTAACCCCCAAAAGCTGTGCTCAAAGCTCGGTTCAATTCTGCCTTGACTAGGTTTGCTGAATGAAAACCGGTCTTGTACCTTTGTTTGTTGCTGTTTTCTCTGAGCCCAGATGGGCTAGTGGTGTTCATGTGTTTTGGGCCTCCACACTCGAAGATTGTGGGAGAAGATTGTATTTCATGGTGGTCGGCGGACCTTACTTTTGGAGCATTCCCCTGCAGGAGGAAAAAGGTCCGAGGAAAAAAATGACCTCTGCAGGGATTCCTTCATTCCAACTGGCAAGTGCTGTGCTTCACAGGTTTTATGTTTTACGGTGTGGGGCGGAAGGTTTGCAATCCCCTGCGCAGCGGAGACAAGGTCCTACAACCGCATGTGAGCTTTAGACTAAACACCTTAAGGGGATTATGTAGGGGGGTATATAGGGGAGCATTACAGGGGTTAAGAGTGACACCAGGAGTTTAGATTATAGCCCATATACAGTATACAACTTCCCATCGCCCCTATCCTGTGCATACCTTTTACACTTCCTCTCATAACGAGGTCCAGTCCTGAAGCGGTCCCTGAAGCCTGTGAACCCCAAAAACCTTCACACCCTAGATCCTACAACCCCAACTCCCAAACCCATAAAAAACCCTTGGCCTAAAGCCACTTGAGCCAAAAATCTTTACACCATTATTGTGGAATCTATACCCCTATACCACATACGGCATCCCCCTATATATTCCCATACTATTTTTTTGTTCTCCTAAACCCTTGGGCTACAGTTACCCTGAACCTCCAAGCAAGGTCCTGCGGGTGAGGAGACCTCACAGCTTGGCCTCCTGAAGTTGCAGGTTGTCATGGCCCAACACTGAGTTGGGGTTGGGGGTTCGAAGGCAGGTTGGGCATTTTGGGAGTGAGAATATGGGGTATATTACTGGGGATATATAGGGATAATGGAAAAGAAAATGGAAACTACTGTATTAGAATAGGTTATATGTTGGGGTTATAGTCACCCTTATGAAGTAGATGGAAATATGGGGTATGTGGGGATCTTATTATTATATACCCAAAGCCACATTCTATCTACTTAAGGGGGACTATAGGGTTTGAGGGGGTTTGGGCATTGGGGATCTAGAGACATACAGAGTGCTCAGGGTTTTGGTTGTTTCGGGGTTTTTGTTCTACAGGGAGACATTGTATGGTATGTGGGGGTTGGGGAGGGTGGAGGAAATGCAGGAGTTCTGGTCTCGACGGTGGTACCCTGGGCCCTGTCTTCCAGGGCCCAGGGTCATTTCCCCAAAAAGGGAGACCCCAAAATAGACCCCAACATATTATAATCCTTGCTATGGGTTTAGGGGGGAACCCCTCAAATAAGGTACAAATCCACACGGCTGCCAATTGAATCCAATCTCGTCGATTTTTAGGATGGCAGTGGCAGATCTCACTTTTGCTGAAGAAGCCCAGAGGAAGGCTCTGAAATGCACTGACCCACCATCTTTGTGAGGGCAGTTGCTCAGCGCCGATGTCCAAGGTGACCTGCCATTCTCCTGAAGAGCTACTGCTTGTTTTTGGAATACCAGCTGCTGGTTTGTGAGGAAGGAAGGAATAGGGCATGCTACGAGCATGGTTGCCAGTACGACCTTTTTCTGGGGCTGCTGATGAGTCACTCATGAGCCAGCAGCCAGAAGAAGCACCTAGCTTTAAAAGAAGCCGCCAGCGGAAAGCCGCTGCGTGTTCTTGCCTAGTCAAAGCTGTGTGCACATGTCGGGTACCAAGTAAGCAGCCACGTTCCGAAACAACGGCCGCCACTCCACATGCTGCACACTTACGAAAGCGTGTCCTGCAAATGCGCAATTCCTCTTTGCATTTGCCATGCTGTCCAAGACACATGTAAATAGTTCTTTGGCATTTGGTGCTTGTCTCACCACGCGCCAATGTGCATGTATTCGCTCAGGAAGGTCACGGGAAAGCTTGATGTATATCTTGCGCCGTTGTAGACACGTACGTAAAACTGAAAGGAAACAGAACTTCGTTTAGCTACTGTAGGACTGCTTGAGACGGCAACATCAGGCTGATTTGGCTCGTGCCTGACCAGTGAAAGTGTTTTATTCTGTCCATAGGCAATGGATGCATCAGACAAAGGGTCACAGGCTCCTGCAGCGCTTTAGGCCACGTCGGCAGGATGAAGTCACTTTGGGGGACTCCCGAAGCATGAGGGTTCCCGTACTGGTCCGTTCTTATAGCCGTCATTTCACGAAGTTGGCATACGAAGTGCTGTTCGAGCCCGATCCTACTTTGCAGCTCCACACATTTCCAACATTCAGTGTCTGACATTTCGACAGAGCGGCATTCAGAAATTGTTACAGCAAAAGGCTCTCCCGGCCATCCAAATTCGCTTGAAAGTATGCTTCTCAGTAGAACAGAGGAAAGATCAGCACAATTCCAATCAGAGTTTATTTGGGATTTTCTCATCATCACCCACCCAAACCTGGACTTTGTGACCGAAGACGAGAGGAGCTCACGCTGAGGAAAGGATGTGTTGCATGTTATAGTGGGTGACCTGTGTTAACAAGTTGCTGAGATTTCAGACACCATCACACTTGCAGTCAACAAACCCTAAACCCTAAGCCCGTTTTTGAGGCCTCCATCAGGTGGACCTGGAAGCTTGGTGCATGGTATGGCTAGGGTTGTCATAGCTTAGACTGGGTTGCTCAATTACTGTATTGGGGAAATCCTATTATTTATTTTGGATTCTCGAATATGAATTCTCGTGGGCAAAGATTTTGATATTTGAATGCTAAATCTATTCAAATTTCGAGAAAAAAATCTTGGATAAGAATATTCATTATCCTTAATTCTGGATCGTAGAATAATTTATTCTTCTTCTATCAGATAAAAATTGACTTCTGAATAATTATCTCGGAATTCTGTTATTCGAATTCTTCTATA